GGGAGAAAAATTACAAAGTCCGAAGCTTTGGGGCTAGTTGTAGTGCTCTTTTTCAACGTCTCCCGGTATAACGTCGAAGACGTTGGTGTCTAAAGCACCTTTTTTATTTGCAGATTCAGTTGTTTTGGTGATCTTAGATGGGGAGATTGGTTAGTGATACTTGTCCAGTGGAGGCTGTCCCGTTGGCTTAAGTTTTTTTTCCTACATAGCTGTTATAGGTTTTCCCAACGCAGACTTTGGAGAGGATCAGTGATTCCTGGTTGAATGCTTACAGTCGAGAGGGTAGTATAGGGTCGTCGGTCACCGGGTTTTCCAGCCTTGCGAAGAACAACTCCGCAGGTGACGTCTGCTAGTGAATGGCTGACTTGGTTTAATAGTGCCCGTCTTTAGTTAATATAGTCTTTTAGTCGACGAATCGCTTCCGGAAATGGTAATAAAAATGTATTTGTTGGCAAGGTAGTTTACACTTAGGTGGATCCTAAAAAGAACCGATGAAATTGATGGTTAAGTAGGGAACGCAAATACTTATAATGGCGCTAAAAAGCGCCAGTGGTGAAACTTCCAGGCTATTCTTATTCCTGATGATGAAGAGCTGGCTACGGTTGCTTGATTCTTACGCTGGGAGTCTCGATGTACGGAGACTGTGATGGAGGAAGGTACGCTGCTGACCAAAGAATATCTTGTCTCGGGTGGTTCCCCAGATAACCAACCGCTCATCGTTAGACGGGAACATGTGGGTAAGCGCGTTGGGGACGCGACGACCAAGAAGGTAGCCGTTGTGGCTGCCCGTGCCCCTCAGAGCTGTTGTCCCTTGCTTACATTTGTAGCCACAAATTCTCTAACTGCACCAGGTGGGATGGTGGGACTGCTATGAAGAGTTGGTGCAGATTGTGCTCTGGCTAGATATGTCTCCGGGTATTGAGGCAGAGACGGCATCGGTTGGAATTAATTTTTTTTTATTTGATCGCACTCGTCGAGATTCAGGGTGAATGGACACCTAGGTCCCTTCCCCCTTAGAGAAGAGTGTCGTCCGTAACCGGGATACCCAGCTGCAAGACTATCATCAGCATTCTCTATACAGCTCGTTGAGTTGCCGAAGCTCGACTACAACACTATGGAGACGCTCCAGCCTATTATAACCACACTTATTTAATTATGTTGCAGGTAGCTTTGATTTTATGTCGACGCCACCTAGCGGATTTTACTGAACTAAAGTGAAAAGCTGGCATATTTTTGCAAAACTTTAAGCTCATTTTTTGCTATTGTTATTAAATTTTTTAAGATAAAAACTATGCTAAAACCATCTAGGAAGTATCATGAATCAGTGTGCAAAATTTCAACAAAATTGGTCCAGTAGTTTTCGTGGTTAGCGATTACAACGGTTTTAGCGCTTCTGCTTTATATATTAGTAAGATATTTAAATAATTGCTAAACAATTACTATGTGCATAAAATCCGAAAAAAACTTTTAGAGCTAAGTATATCAAGAAGCTATATACTGAATTGTTTTTATAGGGCAGCAGCCGACGTACTGTCGTCTGTCGCTTCTTGATGCAACTTGGTTAAAATTATACTGCAAAGATGACTATATTATTAAACGCGTGAAAAGTTTTTTTAGTTTTTGGGGTACCGATCGCAACCGGTATATAGCAAATTAGGAATCACTTAACTGCAGGAATCCAAGCACCGGCTTTACTTAAATTAGATTGTATCTGCTCGTCAGAATTATGACGTACACGTATACGTATAGTCACTGTCAGTTTTAATTTGACGGTCACTGATCATCGATGACTTAACTATCTATGATAAAAATGCTCCGTACTTTACCGACTTAAAGGCAAACCCTTTTTACCATTGAGTAAGATTAAACTATATATATAATTACATGAAATTTCTTGTTAACAATAACATTTATGGAAAAAATGAGTATGTAAATATTTATGTAAATCAAGCTAATAGTAATGTAGTGTAAATGTACCTATAGTCTAGTATAAAATATAGATACATTTGTATGAGCTCGGGTTTGCTCTGGACATATCGTTTTAGATACTCGAATTAATTTCCTGTATGTATGCACGAATGCCACTGTTGTAAGTATTTTCGATTAATGTCCAACAAACGTGAAATAATTTAAATGTATGAGCTTTTTCCACCATCGTGACAATCGTGCAGATACCACGCATGTGCTGTTATGTCATGGGCCACGGAGATTATAGCTTTTGGGTGATATTTACATTATCATTATTAACAAAAACAAAGCCTATATTCTCAAATCGAAGGATGGCTCAATTAAATTTGGAAAAGGTTCAATTTTTTTGAGCCATTGTTTGGTCAGGAAAGTCTTTATTTCCAAAGATTTTGCAGATAAAAAACAAGTCAACTTTCTTACTTTTAATAATTTTTTTTGTCCGATTGGTGAAGGTTCAATTTAAACAAATTGCATATTCAGGGGGTGCATTTTTTGTTCTATCGGCCTGTATTTTTTTTTATTAATTTGAGTATTTTCATGTGCTATGAGAGAGGGGGTCTGACAAGGCAAGCTGACTGGCTCAGCTGACTGCCAAGTCTGCCACTACTATTATATGTGGTGTATAAATAATATACAAATATATATATATTTATGTATACATGTATACATAGATCA